CTCTCTAGTTTTCAAATCTTAACTTGACAAAAAAGGTGGACTTACGTTCCAAAAGGCAAGGAGGGGAAGGAGAGGGAGAAAAGCTTATCCACAAGTTTTTGAGATGGAAAACTTGGAGGAAAACTTGTGAGCAGTGAAAGATACTGAAAGTAAAGAGCAAGAATATCTAAATCTTTTGTTTCTTTCCTGTGGCTAGAGGTTGCAAGTGGATTTGTAAGTGATCCAAGCCTATTAGTGTTACATATCACTTGTTGTGTGAATCTTTAAATGAGAGAATTAGCTCAGCTCGACATGTCAGCTCAGGAATTTGGACTTTGCTGGGCATGTATGGTAACTCAAGTCTTAGCCCATTCACATAACATTGTGGTTCAGGTCTTCTGGGTTTTAACTTTTTATCCACCAAATTCTTTTTCTTCCTTATTCTCAATTATGTCTACGTGTATAACCTCTAAAAAAAAATCGAGAAATATAAACCAAATTCTGGTTCCAAACAAACAATCAACAGAATTTCACACTAAAAACCATTAGTGTGTTTCCTTAGAGTGGAATCAGTAAAATGAGAAAGGTAGATATGAAAAGAATTGCTCATCTTTTAATAAGATTATGACCATTCACCACGAGAAGTTTTTGGACCAAATATGCCTCAGAACTACCGTGGATTGTGCTCCATGAGTCTTATACTACATACAGACTAAACAACAAACTTTATCAATAACATGCCCCTTTTACTCTGATTCATATATAATTTTCTACAAGGGTAGTTTTTAAGGCAAACTAAACCAAATACAAAGCATATTTCAAAATTCAGCCATTATGGTACAAGATTAGGGAATTCTCACCAGGCAGAAAAGTTTTTAAATTCTCCCGTTGAAATCCCCACTTTTCTTTTCTTTGATGTCGCATTCGTTGCCAAGCTAGTGTCAATCGCATTGGTAATTGGACCAGATCCAGCTGGAGCATTCCTTGCTTTCAAGTACTTTCCAACACCAACACCACCCAAGGAACCAGATTCTGTTGTTCCTGTTCCAGGATTGCTATACCATGACCCAACCTTATCCTGAAATGTGAGAGAAGGAAAAACAAGTGATTATCAGGAAAAAAGATATTTAAACAAAAAGGAGAAAAACAATTCCCTAATACAAAAGGGGGTAGAAGCAGACATTCTCTTCATCATCTATCTTCTTCTCATTTTTGGTCTTCTCTTCATCTTCTTCTTCTTCTTCATCAGGCTCTGAGTATGGATTAACAAAAACAGTAACGCTATTTATCTTAATCTCCTCCTGTACAAGTTACACAAGAACCAAAGAAAAGCTTAGACAGTGAATAGAAGTAGCTTCTTTCAAGCTAACAGTTTTTATGAGAAGGGAAATGTCCAAGCATTTTGAGGTCAAAGTTCCAGAACACATTATGAGGGAAGAAATTCCTAAACAAAACCAAACAAACCGAACGTGTCATGCACACACGTAACCTGATTTTTGTCTCCAACTTATGGCTTTCATATGCTACAAGATGAATATTGCAATAAAACTTAGAATACATAATTTCCAGTGCTCACATTTTTCAAACAGCATCTAACAAAGATTGAATCATTCTCAATAGAAACTGAAAATATCAACTGAAAGAGACATGTTGACAGTTCAAACTGTGTCAGACTAAACAGATAATATATATTGTTAAATGCTACATTTGCCATCATTCCAGAAAACTCTCATTTAGTAAGCAGATTGTTGAGGATGCACTGTAGATAAAAAAGTTTCAAATAATCACTAAATGTAAAGGGAAAACTGGAAATTAATATTCACCAGAGGTCGGTCATCGTCATCAACAGGAACCTTTTCCATTGCTGCCAGTGTAGTCAAGCCACCAACAACTCCACCAAAAACTGTATGCTTAAAGTTTAAATGATTTGCAGATTTGTACAGGATGAAAAACTGGGAACCATTTGTGTGCGGACCACTGTTAGCCATACTGACAACACCTCTTCCAGAATGAAGTAACTTCGAGTTCAGTTCATCTTTGAAGGACTTTCCCCATATAGATTCACCTCCTCTCCCTGTACCGGTGGGATCACCTCCTTGAATCATAAAGTTCCTATATGCAGCAGGCTTAGTCCTACAGTTATACTATAAGAAAAAACTCAGGATAGACAATGCAAAATAAGAACACGTAATGTACCGGATGCTTCTGTGAAAGGCCACCCCATTGTAGTAACCACGTTCACAGAGAGAGATGAAGTTCTCACACGTCCTGGGAGTTATATCACAGTGAAGTTCAATGTTCAAATCACCATGTGTTGTGTGCAACTGAACATAACCTTTCTTTTTGGGATTCTTCTCCACTTTAATATATTCAAACTCATTTTTGGTGACAGGGTCAAATGAAGTTGAAGTGAATGATCTCGAAGCAGCGCCAGAACTAAAACGGCTCTTTACCTGAAAATAAAACTCATGTTAATACTAACCATGAGTAGTTCAACTGTACATTAAGATTTATAGACATAAAATATTCATCTATGAGATATCTAAATATGACCAAGAAAAAAAATCCATCACCTAGAACATGAGAATTAATTTTCTTCCACTGTAAAGAATTTATATTAAAAATTATCTAGTATTTTATTAGAATATCAAGTATCAATTGGATACCTAAAAATAATATTCTTGCACAATAACATTTATGTAAATATAATATTCATATCTATGAGATCCTTAGATTTGACCCAGAAAATAAATCTATCGCCTAGAACATAAGAATTAATTTTCTTCCACTAGATAGAAATTAAATTATAAACAATATATAGAATTCTTGTAGAAACTGGATACTGAAGTTAAAACTAACAGAACAAAAATATCAATTGGATACTTAATGTCAATTAACATGCACAGTTCATGTTCTGAAAAAATCATTTCTACTTCAAATGAAATATATGAACTCCAAGCTGATGATCCATGGCTGTTTCTGCTGCTCAAGGATGTGCATTTTTTTTCAGTGGGGTGAGAAGGGAGTTATGACACCTAAGAGAAGTTAAACATAGAGAAAACTTACCATCTTAGCATTCACAGGCATCCTCTCACCAGCCATGTGCATAGCTATTCGTGCAGCAGTTTTATCAGTTGGTGCAGCTTTTGCTGCAGCAGCACTTCTTCCATGTACTGATGCAGATGCAGCATCTACAATACTAAAAGCTTGTTGGGCTTTAGCTTCTCCCTTTGAATCTGAATTTGGACCCTCTTTGATGCGTGACCTTGCTTCTAAAATGGCTGCGAGAGCAGCAGCCCTTTCATTTTGTGCTTTACTGCCACCTCCACCGAGCAATGCAGTTTGCCTCCCTTTCTCAGTTCCAAGCTCTTGAAGCATCTGCTGGATATCCCCAGTAATATTAATGTTATACCCAGGGTCAGAGCTCATTTTTTTCAGTTCTGAAAAACAGATATTGAAATTGTCATTATCACTGAAAATTTTATTAAGATTGACAATAAAAAAGATTAAGTATGAACATTTAAAATCTGGTCCTAGAGTTAGGAAAAGGCTATTCACCTTCATCATCAACTTTCAGACTATGTTTGACATGATCAAACTCCAGGGTAACTCTAATGTCAAGTGCATTAGGATTCTGAAAAACACAACAGAAAATATGGGTAGATAAGTCATTTACATTCTAGCCAGAAGAATGACTAGATGCAGATCATTCAGTTTGTATATACTACCTGAATGGTTATAAGGTCTTCCTTTGCGAATGTTTCATCTGTTAGAAGCTCCTTCCAGTTCTTAGTCTTGATGTTTAACTCTTTAATTGCCTAAAAAGAGTAACAAGGAGCTTATAGTATTCCCACACTGTACATATAGAACAGAGAAAATGACTCACATTGACTATTGAAGAGAAAACAAACCTCATAACAGAAGACATTTCCTGTAGTCTTCACCGCAACGATGTGAGTAAATTCAGTAAAAACTTTGTTTAGGACAGGACAATGGTATTCTCCTACAGAGAAGGTATCCAAGAGTTTCAGTATACCGAAGCTATTAGAAATAAGGTAGAACCAAAAAGAACTCAAAGAGAAAGCATAAGATTTGCATTTAAAAACAAGACCAGCAAGAACTCAGATCACATTCCAACATAGCCAGCAATAAAACCATCAGAAGAAGGTTGCTAGCAAACACTTCCATCCATATAAATATTTCGTGATTCTAAGGTTGCAAGTTGTAGCCAAAGTTACCAAATACTAGACATCACATCAATATTCACCTTGGGACTTCTAATACCTTCGTATGCATGTATGGCCATCCCTTGTGCTTTTTCCTTGCACAATACTGAAATGGGAAAAATGTGCAGTCCTATCCTACCTCAAAAAACTAGTGGGATTACTCGTTGAGCAACCAGGCAAAATGATTGCTGAGCTAATCATCCAACATGCACCACTAATCAAACAACCATGCATTTTCCATGCAGAAAAGCAGTTTTGTGGAAAACAAGGAAAACTCTCGACAGTGAAAAGAATGAGTTACTCAAATTCAAGGTAACTTTAGTGAAGTCACATATTCTAAATTAAATAAACTGGAACTGTGTTAGAAACACTTCATAGACATATCCTAAATTAGTTACTTTTTTATTTAAAAAAAAAATATCTAGAAATTAGTTGCTTGTTTTTCCATACATATGATCTGGACTAGATCCCATTCAAAAAAAGTTCAATCTTCCAAAACAATTGGCAACTTGTGGAAGGAGGACCCACAAGCAAGATAGATACTAGCCTAATCTGCAACTGTTGGCAATTTGTCTAAGGACCTAAAAGCAAGGCAGATACTACCCAAACATGTCTAAATTAGCTAGAGTGACCTTGAAAGGAAGCAACGATATCTTCAATTGTGCTGCTAATATATTGATTCCCCAGTGAGTGCTTGCATCTTAGAACTATTCCAAGTAAACCATTAATACACGCAGAAAACTTTTAGCGACTCTACAAATTGATCTATACCAAATAACAGATTCATGTAAATGAAGGTACCTCCAGCTTCGTTTTTACTAACATCAGCCCTATTAAAGAAGACATGCACATATATGCTAGTCAAAAGGACAAATCTTTTTCCATCAAAGCACTCATTCAGTAGTAATTTTTATTTCATTCTCCTGTCTGTACCCTTTACCTCTGCTTATTCAGTGAAAATGAATAAAGCAGCGAACTCTCACGACCTGAAGCAAAAAACATCCCTACCACCCGAAATCAAGCATGCAAACCAAAACAAAAACTTTCATGCAATGCAGACCGGACTCAATGAAAAGAAGACGCTAACCTTCAGCATTCTTATGAAAAGTAAGTGCAATGAGGTCCTCTAGCTTCAATGGAGCTCCAGTAACAGGATGCTTCCCGTACTTTCTAATGTAAGGCATGATATTCCTGCAAAACCAACAAACCCAATAAGACTCCATGATTCAATATTTAAGAGGAAGAGAAATTGCAAAGCAGGAGAAGTAACAGAGAACTATGAAGAAAAGATACAGGGACACGAACATTATATCGAATACACTGCCGTCAATCGTGCATACCGGAGTCTCAAACGGCGTAAATGCAAGTCTGCACCAAAAAATCCCAATTACAAAGATAAAAATTATAAGAGCAGGATGCAACTATAAAATACTGTATATACATACGCAAACATGAAAATATAAAACGACATGGACATACGCGCAGCAATAGTAGGGAAGGCGTTTGAAAGGGGTACGGGTTTCTCTGGATTTGGCGCCACCCCATTCTGTTGCCCACTCCGTTTTGGTTATGAACATTCTGTCCTTGCTATGCTGCTTCTTTCCCATCTCGCCGTCTCGCCTTTGCTCTCCTCAAGATTACCAGCAAATCAACTCCTGATCAAATTTGATTAGGGTTTATGATTCTGGTTTTGGTAGTCTGGCTCGCTAATTGAGCGACTGCGTACTTTCCAACACTGAACAACGAGAAGCTGATGTCTTTGATTCAGTTACTTGAAGAGGGAGAAAGATAGGAAAGCTGCCGTTATATTTTTGGCGTTGGATGGGCAACCAAATTTCTTCTCTGACCTTTCTTGAGACGGTGAGCATGCCGACTCCGACCCGGAGCCGATGTGATGTGATGACGTGGATCACCATCTAGCCCAATTAAGCGAAAGTTTGAGCGCTTGGACAAATTAAGATGTAAACTACAATATATACGGAAGCCCATTGGGCCATGATAACTGGGCTGTCAAGCCCATTCTTTTCTGGGTCTCACCTCGGGTCCGTCTAACCCTGAATTCTTTCTGCAAAAACCTCGCCCGACCTGCACTGTGGAGAGGAGTGAAAATGAGGGGTTCAATGGATGGTCATGATAGCAGTAGCGGAGAGGAAGACGAAGACCCCCAGTGGAAATCTGCCATCCAATCAATTGCTGCCACCACCACTTTTGGCTCCACCTGCAATGGTTCCTTAAGCACGTCGACATCCACTGCAACGACAACCGCGAGGACTTGTAGAGAAGATGATGAAGACTACTGGTTTAAGCCAAAGAAGCTCAAGCATTACCAAATAAAGGTCATTGCTCTCCTTTATATATTCATATAATCTTTTTTCTTGCTCTGACTTCTTTAACAAAAATCTTTCTTCTTCGGGGAATGATTTCGGTTTCCTCCATGAATTTCTGCCGACGAGTACTATAGCTTTACTAGCAAAAGTGAATTGAACATGCCTTTTGCAGTTTTTCCTTTAAATTAACAATTATCACTGTCAATGCTTAATCTCTCAATCTCAATTAACCATGCCATGGACTTCGTGGTTTTCTCAGTTTCTTAACTAGCTAAATTTTGCCAGGAACCAATCAAAGACCTTCCACCTAATTAATAATTCACAGGAAAAGGCCAAACCCAAGATCGGGGCTCAAGAAGCTATGGTCTTTTCCAATGGCCATTGGGGTTGAATTTTGGCCTAACCGTATGATAATAGTTGGTTTTTGTCTTCACTGGTTTTCTTTCTCTCAGGGACAGAAGCTTTTGGATGAAATCCTAGAGAAGACATTAGTGTTTGTAAAGCAGGATATTCCTTTGATAGAGGATGAGCCTGAAAAAGAAGAAGGTGGAATTCGATTGTTCAAATATTCTTCCCCCGGTATAGTATTTGATCGCGTAGGTGAGTGTATCTAATTATTCATTCTGCCTTTTTTCTCTCACAATGAACTTTTGGATGCCTTCTTCAGTTACCATTGTGGGATCTTGTAGGTTAGATTACATACGATTCAACACCCTCTCAAAGTGGCAACAAAGCCACAGTGTGGTCATGGTGAAAATCTAACATGCCTGTGGAGGATGGATGATTTAGAATAGTTTTATTTTTAAACAGTCAGGATCTTTTCTATTTAATTTAAAGACTGAAACTGTTGGAGGCCATAAATGTCTCAGAGGCTTCTGATTAGTATTCGTGATCAATTCATCACCCATTGCAGCTAGTATTATTATTATCACCATTATTTAGTTTAATAAGTTGCTGTAAGTGATTGGCAAAGGAACCAAAAAAAGCCGGCAAGCATGCCTTGCTTCTGAAAAAGTACTGGCTTCCATTTCCATGAGCTATATGGATCTTCTCTTTTTTCCTCCATTGGAGGCCATGGGACTTGTAGGCCATAGAAGTGGAGGTAGTTGTTCATTTTCTTTAGGTCCACATGCCTTCATGTGAGCAAGAGAGAAATCCTCCGGCATTATTAGGTGCATGTATGATCCAGTCATTGTATCTCTAGTTAAGTTATCGAACCAATCTATAGAAGTTTTGATCTGTTAAATTAGACTATTCTTGGAGTAAATTTTAAGTGTTATAGAATTTTTATAAAAATATACTCTTCTTTTGACTATCAGATAAATAAAGTCGTCCTAACTAAACCAAAAATGAGTTCATATGGAATTTTTTTTAGAACAACAAATTCTAATTATATCAATTTTAATACAATTTGAAATGTATTTTTTCAACTTCAGGTGAAAACCTGTACAATTCAAAATTTTGTCATCCTAATAACAGTATACAACTTCTCAGAACTGAATTGTGTAGCTATATATGAATTCTATAGTATTTGTAAATTTGGTCCAAAAATAGCCTTAAGGAATTTGAATGATTTGCGGGGGGTTTCCCTCTCTATTTCTCTCATGCCATTTTGAGTTGATGACCGAAGATTATGTTTGTACTACCAGATGAAGTTCAAGGACCCAGAAAAAGACCAAAAATCCTTCCTGGGAGCAGAATTGATGAGAAATCAAAGGAGGTATGCTTTTTTCTGTGTAGATTCTCCGTTATGATTGTTGATGTACTTTTTACTTTTCTTGTGTATATTTCTGTTTTGCCTGAAAATTACATTGGTTTGCAGTTTAGAAAAAAGCTCAAATCAGTTGCTTTAGATGGGGTTGATATACTGGCTGCTGCCAAAGATGCGTGTCAAAAATCATTGGCTAGACAGGAAGCTAAAGAGGGAGCAGCAAAAGCAAAAGCCAAGAAAGAGGAAGAAAGAGTTGCAGAACTGAGAAGAATTAGGGGGGAGAGATGGCTCCCTTCTATTGCCAGAGAAATGCAGGTAACTTCAATTTCTATCTAATCGCTCGTAATGCGAGGTTCTGCTTGCCCAAAGTTATCAATACATGCTTTGCCAAGTACTACTACTCACTATTTATTTAATCTTTCTGCTCGGTTAAATCAAAATCTGAAGAAACGAGCTTAGACTTGAAACCGATGGCCTGATTTTGTCTCCTCAATGGTTGAAATGATATCTCGAAGGGCTTGCTTGTTGCTTAAAACCAGACAAGTCTTGGCAGGAACTTCTGGGTTGACTTGTACCACAACTCATAGCCTGTCTGGTATTGAATTTATCTTAGAAAACATATATAGTGGTTTATTGAGAAGTATAATTTCCCTAATATGGTTAGTGGTAAGTTACATATGTTTGATTCAATATTTTCTTTACCAGTGTCTACTATGCCACATACTCTAAGATAATCATTATGACACGATTATAAACAAACCCTACTAAAGAAAAGAGGGAGAGAAGGCGAAAGCCTTCTGGAGATAGTGATGATGAGAAGTAGATTGTTTTAGATACATGGAGGATTTAGTGGTAAGTTAGATGAGCCGCATCATAATAATTAATCCTAAAATTTATTTAGCTGACAATCATTTTAATTCCTTGCTTATCTTTCTAATCTTCTTTGTTCTTCCTCCTAATTACCCCCTGCCCTACACTTTTCCTGCTTAATCCCCCTACTCCCCTTTCTTCCCTTTATGGAGAATTGTTGAAATATCATTTGTACATAGCAAAAATATTAAAGTTAATTTCTTACTATATGCTTATAAACAATCTTAGATTTTCTATTCTAACTTTATATTCTTATTATCAACCTTAAATATTCTGCTCGAGTTTACTTGTCCCGTAATAATGCGCATTTTGCTTTTTTTTTTTTCGATATTAGTATGAATTACCTATTTTTTTAACACTTATTTGTATTTATTTTTATCGAAAAATGATATTTTTTTTATAAAAGAAAATTAGCACATAAAACTAACTTAAAAAGCTCTATGCTTATATAGTTGGATTTCTTTTTCTGTTTTGGCAGTTAAAAAGTTGGAATTTGGTAAATTATTTTTCACTTTGATAAAGGTAAAAGTGAAAATCTAAAAATAAACTAAAATAAGCCGATGCAGCTGTAATTCTCTGATTGTAATTTATAAATCTCAGTAACTTATTTAGTTGTGTTTAAAACAATGAATTTTAGATGATAAATTATCAAATTATTTTTTGAATTTTGATAATTATCACAATTTAGTTCATAATATTTATTTTTGTTATAATTTGATATATGTTCGCCAAATATTTAAAATAATCAATTTTGTTAAAAAAAATTAATTTTTGAAGCATTTATAATTACGCCATAGCAAAAGCAGAAAAAAAAAACAAAGATTTTACGTGATTTGTTAGTGTGTTTACTTTTACGGATAAAATCGGTAAAAAAAAATTTGACTCTATAATTTGATAGTGTATTATCAATAGGTTAGTAAATTTATTTATAAAAAATTAGTAGAATTTTTTGTAAATAAAATTTTTATAAAATATATATTAAATTTTATTATAATAAATACAAAAAAATTTAAATAAATTATTTTTAAAATATAAATAAATACTATCGCAATTCAAGATACATCAATATGGTTGACTTATTTTTAAAAAAAGAAATTTTAAAAAAATAATTTTAATTAATTAATAAAAATATTCTTCAATTTATTATTATTATTATTATTATTATCAATTTAATTAAAAATTGAAAGCAAACTGAATATATAAAAATAAATAGAAAATGTAAGAAATGAAATTGTAATGAAAAAGAAATTAAAGATAAAATTATAATAACTGTTTTGATAAATAATTTAATAATTAGATTAATTTGAATCAAACTGAAAAGTCAAAATATATATTGAACTTATAACGCATTTATTATGATGAGCAGAAACTGCAGGAATGGAGGGAAGGTGAAACCAGAAAGAACGCAGAAATAACCCCTCTTTTCCCTTTGTCTGCAACCTGCCGAAAGACCGTTAAATCATTTATTAACCAATTCTCTGTCAGACACACGTATAATGATGCATACACACACTGTATGGTCATTACTATTTTCATGAAAAAACCAAAAGAGAGAGGTCTCCATCAACGCCATTAATCCCCTCCACTGTTCGTTTGATCAGCTTCCAACTACAGCGCCACCTTCTTCTCCCTTTAGAACTCACCCTATTCTTTATGATTCTCCGGTTTCCCATTCTCTGAAATTTGATTCATGGCGCTAGTCCTAGCAATGGTTGTCGAAGGTCTGGTCTCCTTCGCTAGCACTCTCTGGAGTCTGCAAGAACGCCGATTCTCCACTACTTTCGAAACCGTCAGCTCCGTCGCGGTCTCCGTCACTACGGCTCTGGTGCTCTGTTTCTTATCCGTTCAAAACCATCGAAGATCTGAAATAGCTCTCGCCTTCATTTAAATTCAATTTCGCAATTGCCGTAGGTTTTTTTTTTTTTTGTTTGTGTTTTTACTTTCGGTACTTCATTCGATTGTCCTGTTTCGCCATCACTTGGTCTCTGTAAATCTCCGTCCGCATCGAATATAGTTCAGTTCTGAGTTTCTATGAAATGAAAAACCAGCACCGTGCATTTGCGCTTACACATGTTGGATGTCACAATTTCTCTTCGAATTATGGATAAGGTAGTTACAATCTCTTCTCTTAAGGAAATATATATATATATATATAAAATTATCTTATTGTATACATAAAAATAGAAAACTATAGATATGAACATGTTATATTATTATTTTTTGGTAAAAAAAAAATATTATACTGTCCGTTAATACAAAATTTCATCACAATGACAATGAATTTTGTTTAAAAAAATAAAATAAAATATTTAATTTAATTTTTATACTATTTTTAAATTTTTTTATTTAATTCAGACCTTTTAAGACACAATATCACCGCTAATGAAAGCGTTAAATGTCTCTTTATAATGAGTTTTTATGTCATATACCACAGAATTCTTTAACAAAAACAGAAGATAGATGACTCAGGATATTGAAACCCTACGGAAATCGACGGTGGTGGTTGTGAAGAAGACAGAGCGGAGGAGACCATTGTGCCTGCGCTTCTGAATGAAGGTGAGAGCTCGATCGAGGTTCTCGGAGATATTCGAGGCGATTTAGCAGCATCGGCGCTCGTAAGGGGCTGATATGTTTTCTTTTTGTTACGACGGCACTGGAGATGGTGACAAAGTCGGTGGTAGGAAGGGTTGCGTGGTGAGGTTAGCTAGCTTGCCCGTCTGGTCAGATTTAGTCAATGAGGCTCCATTACCAAGCCCTCAAAAGTACGAAATTTGAATGTTTTATTTTCTGGGATGACAAAGTTTCTTGATCCACTTATGGAAGTTGGTTGCTTTCTTGTGTTTTTCAATGATTATTTTAACGCTTTCCTCTTGCTTTTGAACCTCCGATAATATATAGTTTCTTGTATGAACTGATTTAATGGATTGATCTGATTATTAGAATTTGGTTCTAGGTAGATTTCGAATTTAGCCAAAATCCAGTTTAGGTTCATCAGGACTTTAGGCAACTAAAACTCCATTTGAGCTCTCCGAGGTTAGACACGGCGGGCAAAAGGAGCCCGTCGCAGAAGCAGCAATGCCGACAGTAGAACCGGTCGTGTCTACGGTGGAGGAGAAAAAGAAAAAGAAGAGGATGTAGGTGGTTTTAGGGTCTTATTTTTTTAAAATTTTAATTTTTTATTGTATTAAAAATTAGAATACCATCTAAACGTGAAATTCGTTCAACTAACTATCAAGACTAAATAAAAAAAAAAAAAATTGAAAGTACATAATTAAAATTAAAAAAAATAAAAATATAAAGGTCAATTTAAATAATTTAAAGTATTAGAAAATAAAATTAATATTTTTATTTTAAAAAAATCGTGACATTGCCTGGTAATATGGAGGGTGCCGCCGGGCTCCACTCCACCAGTCGACTACCTGCACTTTCTTGGAGCTTTAACCTCATAATTTCTGATTTTTTTTGCCTTCAAAAGAAAGAAAGTTTCGTGTGACATGTCATTTAAATCCTGCAATAAAAGGAGGAGTCAGTCACCTGTCACTTCTCACTCAACTACTACTGTATTCGCGGTAGGTAATCTTATCCAAACAGAACTAATTTTTTCCTGTTATAACCTTCAATAACATGTAATTGGACTTGTGTTTTGACACCAGGTAATCAATCTCTTGTGAGTTTGTTTTAGCCCGAATCATCAAAAGAACTTATGGGTTAAAAACATAATATATATATATGTACATACATGGAGATGTATAAAATGTCATGTATGGCCATATAGTGCATGCAGGCAGATAGTAAGTTTGAATTTTAATCAATAATATTCTTGTAATTTTCTTGCTTACAATAGACTCCAATCTTGCTCCTTTTTCTACCAAGTTTACATAATGATTGTACAAAAATGTGATTAGAAGTTATCATACCACAAACTTCATTCCTGCATCCCATCCCTCTTCCACGATAACCAATAAATAGCATATAATTCGCCTAATAATGAATCCTAATTCCATCTCGGGAAACACGAACCTGCATTCTGAGGTATAATGTTAATAAAAGCCCGGAAGCCACTATAGACTACAGCTAACAAATTCAAAACTGAACTGAAACTGAATTTGGCACTGATACATTATAAATTACACATATAATTGAAAGTTTTTGCTTTGAAATCTTGGAGAAGTATAGATCCATAAATACAAGTCTTTTATTTTGGGTACAAGTCGTCGAGGAACTTCTGGACTAACTTTTATTATGAACATGATACCGCCTCCCGGTACAAACTATATACAGGTTATGTAATCAAAGCCAGGATCAAATCCACCATCCATCAGCTGAATTTCGGAAAACTTAAATTATGCGAGAGCAGAGAGCACAAATAATATTACTGAGCAAATAGACTGACTAATCTCAGAGTAGAAAATTATTTATCTAGAACTGGACAAATGCGAGAAATTTCCTTGAAAGGTCCTGCTTTCAGAAGTAAACAAAAAGAGTTACCATTGATAAAGCAACAGCAACTAGGCAACAGAACTGTACTTGAAAGCTAGGCCTGAAGGTATCCATTCTCCTGCAAGTATGATATTACAATTTCAGCCATATCACATGGAGACGTGCAATTGTCTCCTTTGTCTTGTAAGACTATCTGCAAAACATGACAGTTGGAAAATTAATTTTATTGTGTAGCTAGTTATTTATTTGAGGAAGTTGTGAAAAGTAAGGTAAAACCATAACTGATGGAACACAGACTAACTTTCCATAATTAGGATAGTTCCTCTATGCTGAACGTTGGGTTGGACATGTTCAAAGGACGAATGAAAGGTGAAGGTATAAACAAAAACAGAACTTTGCACCTTCTTGAATTGGTTTTATATCACCAGTTACCACAACTGAACTGCTCTTAGTTCATGTCAACTACTTAATTATGAACATAGGCAGATAACTGGGAAGTAATAAATTTACAATGCTATTTAGAGCAACATCTGCTTATTAGTGTTCTTGCCCATCTTTATAGAAGTTCAAGTTTACAAGAAAAACCAGTCTTCTAATAAGAAACAAGAAAAGAAGGAAAAGGCATTATCCACCACCATGAATAAATATACCTCACAATTCAGAGGTGGCTCATACGGATCATCAATCCCAGTAAAACCTGCGAGATTGAGAGTCATATTACCACCAAGTTAAAAGTCCAAACTAATACAAAAATACTAGGTGAACTGAGAAAAACAATCACTGACACGATCAATGGAATAAAAAATGGGGGAAAGGCAAAAACATGGCAATAGTCAATCTACTTCTTCCAAATATATACCTTTAATCTTTCCAGATCGTGCAAGCTTGTACAAACCCTTTGGGTCCCTTGTTTCACAAACATGGAGTGGGACATGCATGAACACCTGTCAAGGGCAAGAGCTAGCAACTTACACCAGTAACAAAAGTCTTATGCTCCATTCAAAAGCTTCATTCATCCATGCAAAACCCATATACCTCAATGAAATCTCCTTCTGGCAATAGTGCACGACAAGCATCACGGTCTCTCCTGTAAGGAGATATCAAACTAGCAATACAAATAATGCCAGCATCTGCAAATAGCTTTGCCACCTCCCCTGAAAAGATTGAAATGACGTGCAACTTGGAATCATCAGTAAAGAAGGGAAAAGAAGTGAAAAGAACAAAACATAGATGACGAACTGAAGCAGTAGATACCAATCCTCCTTATATTTTCGGCTCGATCTTCTGCTTTAAATCCAAGGTCCTGGTTTAAACCATGCCGGATATTGTCGCCATCAAGAATGTAGGTGAATTTTCCTCTTGAGTGCAATGCTCGACTCAGAGCACATGCCAAAGTGCTTTTTCCTAAAATTATGGTCCATGAAGAAAGAGCCATAGATACAAAAATAAACTTCAATATCTTGTGATTTCTTTGGTTCTCTAATATAAAGACACAATTAAAGTCAAGGGGGACACAGCTAGGAATAAGCAACCAAGTTTAAGCAAAACATGAAACGACTCTTATCCAGGATTGAGCTTGATCTGAATATAGCCAATCAAACTTAAACAACCAGAACTGATGAGGTCCCTCATCATTTTAGTTGCAAAAAAGAATGTCTTATGGACAATTACACTGTAGTTTCAGTTTTTAATCCTCCCAACAACTGTATATAGGAGTAAGGTAGCCAAAGGAGAAATGCATAATTCTTTTCTATACCCCATTTACTTGGGGAAAAAATAAGCGCAGAAAAGATGAATCTAGGAGCAGAACAGATAGGATGATGATAAGTATGGGAACAAAAAGAGAAAAACGATCAGTTAGCACAAATATCAATGATTCTGATAAGTATCATTAGGAATCATAGGTTGATCACTGCAAATAGGAAGTTTCTATAGATTTTTTCTGTAAGCAGAAATTTCCAGAGTTAGGGAATATCAGTGAACCAGTTGCACTGAACCTTTATAAATATCAGTGTCCTCCCACGACCAAGAGACAATTAGTTCAATTTTAATGTTAGAAGGTAAACATGAACCCTATACTGATGACCATAAATTATAGCTGTTTATTTTATATGCAGGATGTTAATCATATACCATAAGACTTGTAAGACAAGATCAAACATCCACAAATTCATGTAGAGGTAAAAGAATCAACAAACCTGAACCACTGAGACCGGTAATCCATATGACACAGCCTTTCTGCTGAAGTAACTCTTGTCTGTCAAATTTATCAACTGAACTTTTATGCCACACAATGTTTGTTGACCCAGTGGGAGACATCTGGCGAAGATTTTCACCTAGTTAGATCGCTAAAATTAGAAAACTAACTAGAGCCACATGACAAGAAATCTTAAAATTGATTAATTATAATTGCGCTATTACATTCACATAGAAAAGATTTACAATCTAAAGAACCATTATAGAATTTATACTGCCTCGATTTAGCATATAAGTTAATTTTGCATTGATTGACTTCCAGCAACATGTAATTGTTAAATCATTCAGATAATCTTTTAGGAGTCACTTCAGAGAATAACTTATAGCATTTACAACAAAATTAGAGTTGGAAAAATGTCCAATTTCCTGCATTCAATCGTACATGCTCCAAAATGAAAAATGAACAATCTGTGACAACTTCTGCTCATCTCAAACTTCTCTCTGTGAACGACACAAAAGAGTGAATATGCAAGAACAAGAAACCAGTTCGTGCGAGATTACCAAGTAGGACTAACATCTATAGCAATTGATTCCTGCACTCAAAAGCCTATACTACCACAAATTATGATGTGCACTCTCCCTCTTGGGAAGATCTTAGACTACACGCCCTTACTCAGTGCAATGGAAGTCGCAAGTCAGTTCTGAATGACATAGTATTCTAATTCAAGCACCAATACAGTCCGCCACACATTTTAACCTCGAAACACCATAGTTTCATTTTTGCCAGTGAAGGACATAGTCAATTCTTAGAGCCAGAACCAATCTCAGTAATCCCATAACTTGGTTTGGCATTTAGCAAAGAAGGCAAGCACTTCGTAACTCATCTCTAAACCGTTTTCACTGGCAGCAACTCAGCAAATATTCCCAAGAAGAAATGTTTCAGAAGTTTTCCCTTCTAAAACGGAGACGACCTCTTTTTCAGAACAAATCACATAGTTTTTACTCGCAGATGATCAGACAAGAAGAAACTACAGAACGAAAAAGTTACCAGAAATGCCGGCACAACCAGTAGAGAACGAAGTGATCGATTCTTCCGTAGCCTTGAGCGGCTGCAAGGAGCTCAATCCGCCATCATTAACCCCAAGCAGTCCCAACAGCTTCCCTCCCTTATCCAAATTAAATGCATTAGACACCGGCAGTCTCACACAAGCATTCTTCGGCAGAGGCAACATCCCAGATTCAAAGTCCGGCAACGAACAGGAAATAAAAAATCGCGCTCCTCTGACGCCCGCCACCTCCATGGCCACGATCGACAGTAAACATCAAACACCAAAGAGAAGAAGAAGATGATGCTAAAATCTCAATGGAGACTTCGTTTAAATTAAAAGAGAGCGTCGGGAGGTCTTCACGGAGGAGGCAGCGGTTTTAACGGTCTCTGTTGAATATAGTACAGAACAAAAACAAAATATTTATCGTCTCGTATACTCGTTATATGCGTGTGTGTACATACAGCTAGATTGAGTGAGAAGAAAGTGAGATGAACCTCTGATTTGCAGGGTTTTGATTTTGATTTCAGTTTTTGGAGAAAAGCTGGTTTGATTTTGTTATTGACCAGAGCGATGGCAGACGATGACAACTCGATACTGGAGATCCCGATCAGTGATCCACTCACTGATCCCAATCATTTATATTTTATTAAGAATATATGAGAATTAAAACCAACGAATTCCATTGCCAAATGAAAGTGAGAGTTCGCGAGGGGGGAAAGGAATCAACGGTTTGCAATTTTCACGCGCTTCCGGGAGAGCGTCGGTTATTTCTATAAATAAAATAAAACTTTATTAATTTAGTAACTTATTTATTATCTTAAGACACATTTTTTATAAAATAAAATTAAAAAGTTATCATTTTTTTTCTATATATTTTCTTTCTAAATATTAATTATAAAAATTAAACATAGATTACCAAATTACAAACTGATTTTTTTATTAAGTAAATTATGATTCGTTCATATATAAAAATAACTGCAAAAAAAATAATAAAAACATTATACTATTAGACCAAACAACTGAGTATTGTACCATAAACATCACTAACTTATATTTAATTTAAATAATATTCTTAAAGTTAAGTATTAGCAAAAAAGGAGGGTGATTAGGACTCTATGAATTAATATTAGCTTTAGAAAAGTTGAGTTTACATGGCATGCACCTACTTAATGCATAAAAATGTTATAATAAAGTAAATATAATTAAAGATAAATGTGTGAAAATATTATTTTATACTTTATACATTTAATACCAATAGGACACAAGAAAAACTGACATCCAAACATAGACTTAATACGTGCTTCTTGTCAAATCAGGTTCGTGGACATCCATGAAAATCCAAATTAGGTTTAATAAATAAATTAGAGAGGATGGAATACAAAAGTTTAGGTAGGCAAAATGGAGTACAGATAAGTAACAACTTCAAAATATAATTTTTCTGCTTGGCTTAATCAAGTACACGTGTATATTATTCTTTTTTATATCTAAATGAATTTGTAAAGGAGGCGAGAATATTTAATTAATTGAATAATTTTTCTTTTTTTTTTTCTAAAAAGAAAAATTACAGCTTTGAGTTCGTCTCAGATGTGTATATATAGTCAGAGAGATGAGCAATGGACATTGTTTTATTATAATTAATAAATTATTTCCATCATGTTTAATGTTTATAGATGTATGTGCAACCATATTGAAGACGGTGTAAATTATAACGACCCCGGAAATATCCGAAAGAAATAAATTATAATTTATGTGCGGAAGCAAAATAAATATTCAAGTTTTACATTCTCTACACGATAACTTAAAGAACCAAACGGGACTGCAGAATTCAGTATTTAAAAAAAATAATACAAAAAATAAGGAAATAAACGGAAAATAAAGAAAACTAGCATCTACTCGCAATTTTCTTGCGGTTTGGATTTTGGAACTTGGTTCTCTTGATCTAAAATTGTTAAATAAGAAATGAGCCACACTAGTCCAGTAAGTACATCACACTATATCACCGACACATAAATAAATATTAGTAAAAAATCAAAAACATTAATATGAGTACTAAATTTAACAAATTCATTTATCAATCATAAAAATCATTTACCGTTCACTTACCGTAGTAGATTCATAAAAATAATTTATACAGAAAATAATATTATACATATTATAATTTCATGTATAATCAGCAATCATAGCACATATTATAAATCTATATCCATCATCAATAAATCAAGCAATAACTGTTACTTTTTCTACCAATCTGCTGGTATCAATGGGGGTTCATATGGATGTTCTCACTACACGTGAACTCTTTCATTTAACATTCTCAATTACGGGTCGTCCTCATACCCCGTTCGGTATGAGCGTCAATTTATTAAACCTTAATACTCTGTCATGTATAAGAGTGAAACAGGTCGTTTTTCATACCCAGTTCGATATGAGCACTAAATTATCAAGTCTCTATACCCCGTCAGCTATGAGACAACATTTACGGTAGGGTTCTTTATGTATCCGGTCCATCCACCATCTCTCAAGATATCCAATAAGACTGTCGTTTCATCTATTCATTTCGTCACACAATTTTTACCGTTTAACATTCATTTTTTTCCGATTTAGCAGTAAACACATAACATGAATCATATATGCATTTAAAGCCATAAAATCAATTAATAACGTACTATCATATATTTAAATTGTAAAACAATCAACAAAGCAACAGTAAAGAATTTTTGGTTCTGCCTCCATTAGCAATCCCTAATTAATTATGTACATTTTTTAAATTCACACAAATATTGTATTATTATTTATTTAAACTTCAATTCTATGATAGAGAATAAGGTGAGGGGATCCTTACTCGATTTGATATCCGAAAAGTTAAGCTGTTCGATTACGCTTACGGGCGATTCCCGGGTTCTCTGAATTTTTCTTTAGAAATTAAAACGCGCTAATAGTACCTACAAATATCCTAAACAAACATAAAATCAATCACATGCCCCACTTGGCCAATTTTAGAATTCCGGCACGGCGACGGTTCGCCTCAGGTCGGCTATTTTCGACCGTTTTCGGTCGAATTCAGTTGATTCTGCATCGATCCCTACGAGAAAATTTATTAAAGGGTATCGGTTGGCCAAAAAAATATAAAAAATCAAAATTCACCGGCGGTAGGGCTCTCTGGTGAGGCGGCTCCTCTGGCTCACGTTGTGGTTAGGTGTTTTGCTCCAGTCAACTTGTAGAGAATGACACGGTGATCAAAATGGTGGAACAATTACACAGAATGGAAATCAGGAAGAGCCTCATCGAAGGTGTTTTGTAAAATTCCTAGCGGCAGCGCTGTCGGGTTTTGCCTGCATTTTTCGGCCAATTGGCCAGTTCTTTTACTTTGATTTGGCCATAGATGTATTTAGAATTGAATTCCAAGCAAAAGAGAAAATTTTTACCTTTTTTAGTGGTCGGAAATGGCTCCGGTACGGCGGCAGGTGGCAGCAGTCTCCTTCTCGGTGGCCGGATCTTCTTCTCCAACGAGGGGGTCTGGCGGCTAGGGTTAGAGTTTGGTGTGGATGAGAGTTATTTATATCCATCCGCTTTTGATCTGGACCGTCCATCGCGTTTTATCTGAACCGTTCAATCACAATTAAATAGAGAGTGAATTTAGACCGTTCATCACGATCCAATTTGGATCATCCATCGTGATTTAATCTGGACCGTCCGATCGTGTTTGGGGAGAGAACGCATCTAAGCCATTCGTGCGTGCGGGAACGGATCTGAGTCGTTCGATCGCGGGCACGCAGATTGTCCACATGGCCCCCCGCGTGGCACCACGTCAGCGTCCTCTACCACGTGGCGCATCTTGGTTCGTCGGAGCTGCTGACCGGGCGTCCCACGTGGCATAACTTTCCTAAATTGCAGTTTTACTTATGGTTTCTGATTTTTCTTTCAAAAATATCTCTAGAATCTAAATTTTCACTCTTTTTCTCCAAAGTTATTTTTAATTTCATCATTCTTCAATTTTTACTTCATGCTTACTCTAAATTAAATAAGAAAAATTAAAAAATTATATTTATTAATTTTAAATTACATTAAAATCCTATTTTGGGGTGTTACATATATTACTTTAAAATCTAATTAGACGGAATTAGAATTCAAAAAAAATATATAAAATATAGATTGAAGATTAGATCCTAATGTTTGATTAGGTCTAATAAAGTTTGAATTTAGAATAATACAATTTTTTTTTTAAAAAAAAAGTACGCTTAAAAAGAAAATAATAATACAATTAGTGTTTATCTGCAAATTAAGAGGAGATGCTAGAGCGAGATTCAAATTGCACAATTGAAGTCGAGTAGAGGGATTAGATTCTTCAACTTGGAGGGTTGAGAGAGTTAATGAGATCTACAACTCAAGCGAGTGAGCGGCTAATTGGAGTATGAAAGTGGTTCGATGGAAGTTGAAGGAAGAGGAGTCGATACCCGAAAGAGGACAAAAGATTTAGTTGAGAGACGAGAGGGCATATGAGACTTAAGAGAAGGGAAGTTAAAGTCAAGGATTATCATGTATGTAAAATAAAATTTTGGATAGGATTCAATAGGTGTAATCTAATTCCGAATTAGTAAGCATCATGGGTTGAATGCTCATTTTTTGACAAGGACCATAAACTTTAAGGAAAAAAGAAAATAATAAATTACACACGTCAATTATGATTTGATTTTTATTAAAAATAAATTATTTATTCAATAAAAATAATAAATATTAAATTTATTAATTATACAATAAAAAATGTAATTGTTTTAAATTAAATAATGACACATTAGATCGAATTAATGAAGTCAATTGTAATAATAACACTATTTTAATTGGGTAAAATGTAATACAAAAACATAATAAATACAAGAGTCAATCAAAACTAATTTAATTGGCATTTTCCACTTTAAAAAAAAAAATTAATCTTAAAAAAAAATAGTCAATAATCATCGTAGAGGTCGGCTCTTCAAGTATGCAGGTATATCATGTTTAAGCCCAATAAAATCCTCAAGTTCATAATCGAACTCAACACCGTCTGCAATTCTCACCTTATCATCAACCTTATAACAGTCGGCAATCTCCTCCTTTTTCTGCTCAGTGCCGCTGTGTTTGTATTGCTTTGATACCCCAAACGCATACTTCAACCCTCTAAACAACATCTTCCCAATATTCATCTTCCCTCTTGGGCTCTCTCTGCAGCTTGACCTCTCTGTTAATGGCGACATTATTGTGGCTGATCTCTCGGCTCTGTGCTCTCGGCCAAACGTCACACTTAATAAAGAACTCGACCCTCGCTCTCCTTTCTCTACCTTGTTCCTCGCAGCGTAGTGGAAGCTCGCTGACCGACCCGAATCCAACACACTTCTAGATTGACCCACAACGCAACTAGCGTTGTGATTACTCCTTTCGAGCTCTGAAGATTCACGCAAGAGTTTTCTCATGGTATCCAGCTCCTTCTCCAGGTTTGCTATACGGGAGCTTGTGGCCTCCATTACAGCCTTGAGCTGCGCAGCTTGGCGCAGTGCGGAGTCGCGTTGGAGGATAGCGCCGAGGGTTAAGGGGTCTCTGCTGCTGGTGCGGTGATGTTGTCCTTCGGTCAGTGAGAGGTGTTGTCTATGGTTGCTGGCGGCGGAGCAGATGGAGAGGCGGGTGTTGAGTTGCTCGGCTAACATGGCTCTGACTATGAACCTGACCGGCATTCGAGGGTTTTGGACGGCGTGGACTAAGGAATCCGGCGAGAGCTTGACGCAATCTATGGAGTTGCATATCTTCGTCCTCTGTTCTTCACTTATCTTCTTCCCATTTTGTTCCTGTCAATTAAGAAAATGATACAATTCTGCACGACAGATTTTGTTTGATTTCTTTCAACCAATGCTCTACGGACACGTGGCTGATGAGTAATGAAATTCCTAAAATAGGTCAATGGTCAGAGTTCGAGTGGATTACCTTCATGTAAATGTCAACGATCCGATACAGCAAATCATGGCACGAAAACCTGCAATTCATGGACTCGGCTACGATTCTGAAATCCTCGGGTCGCAACGTCATAACGTCGTCAACAAAACTGTCAATGCCGTCACCGTATTCCGTCAGGCTTAACGCCTCGATGCACCTGCCAACCAAAGACGCCGTCGTTTCGGCCTCGGGGAGCAAAACAAGGCACGAACGGAGAACCACCAACGCGAAGTCTTGGTTAACGGTGACCAAACCATTGAAGTAGTCTTCAGTCACCTGCTTCAGATTCTCCTCGCCGTCACCTTTGGTCTCGGTCATCTGGAGCAACTCCGCCGCTACCCTGAGAGCGGCGAGGTTGAACGGCGTAATGGTAATGTCCGTCCCGTAGCAAAAGTCAGCGACGAGGGAGAACGCGGCGGCCGTTATGTTTAACGGCGGTGAGAGGGTTAACTCGGAGAGTGCTGATAACTGCCGTTTCAAATAAATGCTCCGTTTTGACAGAAGATCCTGGTGAAAAAAAATAAATAAATAAATGAAATTTTTATAACGTTAAAGAAAAGCCATGCAGAATTATGTTACTGATAAGATGTTTATAGTAATTTAATTTGTATATTTTAAAAATATTTTATTTAACATTATGTATTTTTTACTATAAGATTTCAGAGCCACTTTTTTATTAATTTTTAATAATATTTAAATTAACTCTTAGTTTACAACTATGTTTGAAATAATTTAAAAAAATTTTAATTGCATTAATTTCCTGTCACCATAATCACATTTAACATGAGAATGTTTAATATGGGGATCGAAAGGATTGTACGAAGAAGGAATTTTTAATAGGCATTTATCATGCACATTAAAAGCTGACCGAAACGTTTCTTTTAATTATGAGCAATTAAGACTTTACAATTAACAAATATATACAAAGATCTCGCCAATCTCATTCCTTAATTCGTGCCCCAAACAGATCTTGAACACGAACTATGTTTTATATAGGATTTTATTATGTAACTAATGGAAAATTATGTCTAATAACATAAACTTGATGACCCAAAATTCAGGAAATTGAACAGAACTAAAATTTGTATATGACGAAATTCCCTTCTTATACCATATGGTCTATTATAATGGAGTTATATCTGTATATGTGTATATACACACACACACACACATATTTACACAAAAACATCCTACGCCGTTGAACTTTTGATGAGTTATAGACTGGTAAATTACCTTGTGGAGACGAAAACTTGTTTCTTGAACATGTATTAACACATCTGGTTCATGCCCGGTCGCTAATGACCTGATTAACCACAAATTAATGATAATAAAACATTATCAAGGAATTTATATATAATAGTTATGGGAGTAAGAATTTTATTAAGTTTTAAATTTTTTAATCTTTTTCAAGAATAAATGTGATATAAAACTAAGTTTCAGAAGTTAATTATTGAGACTGGAGAATTCATGTTTCTTGCAAATCTACTGTAGCAACTGGTTGTTCACCAAGGTCTTTAAGTAATTCCATCCAAGAACCCATGTAAACCCAATGCCAAGATTTCATGTTTTTAAAGTGCAAAATTCAAGCTTCATACATATTTGTATATATACATGGAGAGAGAGAGAGACATACCATTCTTCAACTCTGCAATGGAGATCAGGAGTATGATCAGGAGAGGAGCAGAGACTCCGGGAGAGAGGAGAAGGAGAGGAAGATGAGTACTCATCCTCTTCATAGATAGTATCCACCACACCCAAGTTCCTCCAAGAACCCTTCATTGATTTTCTCTTTAAAAAAATCTTTTCCTCTGTAAAATCTGTTTGGGAGATCAGAATTTGATTTTTTCTAGGGAGTTGTAGTAGTAAATTGAGGGAGGAGGGTTTTTTTTTTTTTTTTTTTCTTTTGAAAGGGGTGAGAAATTCTCTGATGGGGTTATAAATTGGTGATGGCATTAATGGTGACATGTGATGCCTCTTAAATGCTATATCCCTTTAACCTTCTGCTCAATTCAATCCCTTTAACCTTCCTTCTCCATCAAAACTGTATTTTGATACAGATTTAGGAAATCTGATTTGGACTTTTATGGGTACTGTCTACCATAATCATCAACTAAATTTAATCTATTATATATATATATTTGATTTGATTTTATATTCATGTTCATGTTCAATTAGTTTTTATGTATTGTGACAATTTTTTTTTAATTTAATTCAATATAAAATCAGATTGGATATATTTCCATTTGAATACCAGAATAAGCTGTGAAAATCCAGTTCAATTAACAAAGCCCAAAACTTATTGGAAAAAAAAATGCATTTAACAGAAATTAGGCCTTTCAGGGTGTGACGGAAAAAAGCCCACAGCCACCGAACAAAACCCTAATTTCTCAATCAAACGACACCGTTCGGTCTGATCACCCTCTATACATTATTCAATCAACTTTAACCCTAGAATCCACTGTCACACGCAGAGAGGGAGAGGGAGAGAAGAAAGGCAGCGGCGGACAGCAAGAATGAAGTACAACCCTCGCGTAAGCTCTTCCCGCCGGAAGAACAGGAAGGCCCATTTCACGGCCCCTTCGAGCGTGCGCCGTGTTCTGATGAGCGCGCCTCTCTCTGGTGACCTCCGACAGAAGTACAACGTCCGGTCGATGCC